ATTGCATTTCTACTTAATTCTGATTTCTGATGTATCCTCCACTGCTACATACCCATGCCTCCATATGGAGACCTGTCTGCTCCCTTACCTGCCCACCCCTGCCTACTCCTACTCCTCCTCCTACTCCACCTTCTCCTCCTTCTACTTCTCTCTCCTCCTCCTTCTCCTCTCCTCTACTCCACCTTCTCCTCCTCCTACTCCTCCCTCTACTTCACCTTCCACTCCTCCTATTCCTCCCTCCCACTCCACCTTCCCCTCCTCCTACTCCACCTTCTCCTCCTCCTACTCCTCCCTCCTCCTCTTATTCAATCCTACTCCTCCTATTCCTCCTTCTACTCCACCTTCTCCTCCCTCTACTCCACCTTCTCCTCCTCCTACTCCTCCCTCTACTTCACCTTCTACTCCACCTTCTCCTCCCTCTACTCCACCTTCTCCTCCTCCTACTCCTCCTCCTACTCCACCTTCTCCTCCTTCTACTTCTCTCTCCTCCTCCTTCTCCTCCTCTTTCTCCTCTCCTCTACTCCACCTTCTCCTCCTTCTACTTCTCTCTCCTCCTCCTTCTCCTCCTCTTTCTCCTCTCCTCTACTCCACCTTCTCCTCCTCCTACTCCTCCCTCTACTTCACCTTCCACTCCTCCTATTCCTCCCTCCCACTCCACCTTCCCCTTCTCCTCCTCCTACTCCTCCCTCCTCCTCTTATTCAATCCTACTCCTCCTATTCCTCCTTCTACTCCACCTTCTCCTCCCTCTACTCCACCTTCTCCTCCTCCTACTCCTCCCTCTACTTCACCTTCTACTCCTCCTACTCCTCCCTCCTACTCCACCTTCTCCTCCTCCTACTCCTCTCTCTACTCCACCTTGTCCCCTACCTGACAACATTATATTTTGAAAAAAAAAAAAAGGTTGCTCTGGCCCCTCTTCCGCCACTTCCCAGGGGGGAATACCACACTAAAAAAAAAAAAAAATTATTATTCATACTGTTTTGGGCACTCTCAAGGAAATAGTGCGGTCCTGACCCAGATTCCCATGGAAGTAAGACACCTGTATCATCACTGGGAGGTGGCTGCCCCTCATGTTTTCTTCACTAAGTCCCCAGAAATCTCATAAAAGGAACCTGACTCAATAAAACATGAAACACCAAAAAATCGATATCAGCTCTCTACAGAGGGGGGGGGGGCAGCAAGAGAACTGTAAATGGAAAGACAAATACCCTCAATCTCACACAGAAATAGGTGAGGATATCTCTTCTACTACTCCTCATGGTTGCTTTGAACAGATGAAAGAAGAAATAAGACACCTCTCAACAAGGCATGCAGTAGCTTTGCCAGATCCTGACTCCACTCTGTTTGCGGATGAAGAGGAAAGGTACCATACTGGATTTGCTGTTGCTACAGAAGATCAGGTACGTCAAGCATCTTTACTTTCCTCACCCACATCTGCTCAAGACACCAAATTGACAGCCTTCTCAGTGGCATGCAAATTGTTTGTTTCTGAAAGACAAGGCCATGCAACAGGAGTGCTCACTCAGGCCCATGGTCCTGGAGGCCGCCAAGGGCCTATTGGATTTTTCTCCTGCCAACTGGATATTGTGGCCAGAGGACGTCCCTCTTGCCTTCGGGCCGTCTTTGCTGCCAGAGAGCTCATTGAAAGAACTGGAGATCTTGTCCTTGGCCACCCCCTGGTTGTCTTGGCCCCCATGACATTTCTGCCATAGTCAACCAGGTCCAACTTAAGCATGTTACTCCTGCTAGGCATCTTCGCCTTCAATGTCATCTTTTGTTGCCTGACAACATTACCCTCCAAAGATGTCAAGTTCTCAATCCGTCCACTCTTCTGCCACTCCCTGAGGGGGGTGTATACTACGGATTCATCATGGACGAAACTTATGTTTTTCTTCTCACTGGCACCATCAAGAAGGAAATGCATCCCAACCTATCCTTTCATGATGGACAAGCACTCCTTCATGACGGAGCAGGATATGCCTTCTGTACCATGTGGTACAAATCAAACATCACTCCTGAATCCTGCTATGAAGATGAACTCTATCATCTGGTCGAAGTAAAACTCACTGCACAAGACTTCTACTGTGATTCTGAAGGCAACAGTATGGTCTTGATTCATCTACCTCCGGAACTCAAGCATTTGTACCGTCATTGGGACACTGCCATTCCACATGTCCCTGTGACCAAGTTGAAAACAATATCATGGAATGATCTTGGGCCTATGGCAAAAGCATGGGCCACTATGGACGAATCACAGCTACAGGAAAATGGTGTTGTCAAATATCCAACAACTGACCACCTAAAAGCATGGCCGCGTCATTTCCTGGAGAATGAGTTCCAAGATTTAACCATAGTGAATGACTACGACCCAGATACACCTCATGACTGTTTTGAACAGATGAAAATGGAAACAACACATCTACCAACTGTGCATGAAGACCCATTGGTAGATCCCGATCTCACCCTGTTTGTGGACGGCTCAAGATATGCTGATGAAGAAGGAAGATACCATACAGGATATGCCGTAACCACAACAGATGAAATTGACAAATCATCATCTTTACCATCAACTATGTCTGCACAAGAAGCTGAATTGCAAGCCCTGACTTCAGCATGCAAGATCTCTGAAGGAAAGCGCGCCAATATCTACACGGATTCAAGATATGCACTGGGCGTGGCTCACGACTTCGGATTAATTTGGAAAACAAGAGGATTTCTTACCACCGCCGGTACACCAATCAAGCACGGTTCCGCAATCAAGGAGCTGATGGACGCCCTCCTACTCCCAGAAGAAGTGGCTATTTTGAAGATAAAAGCACATGGGAAGTTGGACTCAGATGAAGCAAAGGGCAACCATCTAGCTGATCAGGCTGCAAAACAAGCTGCAAAAGAACCACAGGAAGTGGAAAGAAGAGTGTCCGGAAATGAAGAAACTCCCATATTTACTCTGCAGACTCTTCCAACTGACCTAAAAATCCTGCGGGAACAACAGGCTACAGTTGCCCCTGAAGAAATACAGAAGTGGAAACAGAAAGGGGCAGTTCTGAAGGATGGAGTGTACTTCAACAACCTCAAGTTCTGCCTCCCTAAGAATTTGTACCCAGCAGTCGTACAATGGGCACACGGACCTGCACATTTATCAAAGGATCTAATGAATGCTCTTGTACATTGTACATTGTCCCTATATGAGATTCTATTTGGGACTGCACCTAGGCTAGGTTGCTATTTTCCCCAACAACTACAACTTCAAACTGATGTCTTAGTAGATTATGTAACTGAACTCGCAAACGCCTTAAACAAAATCCATGCCCAAGTTTTCTCTTCAATTCCAGATCCTGATTCTGACACAGGCAACCACAGTCTGCTCCCCGATGACTGGGTTCTGGTCAAGAAATTTGTGCGAAAACAGTAAATGTCCGTTCCAAGTTCTCCTGATCTCCCCTACCTCTGTCAAATTGGCCGGAAGGCCTAACTGGATCCACGCTTCCCATTGCAAGAAGACACCTGCCCCAGAGGAAGCTAACTCTATGCAACCATGTGCCTCTGGTACATTATCTCCTTAGTTGGCCTCCTTAAAGCCCAGCAGGTGGCCATCACCAAAGATGCTAGTGGGTACACCTTCTGGTATAATTCATCATGTACCCGTGTGGCTACTTATACTTTTGACTACTGTGACATCGTAGAATGCCCATTCCCCACGTCACAGATTCAGAATATCTATAGAGATATCCCTCATTCAAAAGACCCCTATGTTTGTGTAGTTGACAAACAATGGGGGCACAACTGTAACCATTGGGGGGCGGCGGGATGGAATGCCGGGCCTGCCTGGGGTTACAAACCAAAAAGTGTCTTATCTAAAATTGATGATCACGGTAGGTCCCTCCTCCAGAGAATGACTCTGAGAAAGCCCGGAGGAGGCATACCTATGAAATTAATCTTAAACATTGAGCATCCCAGCCCAACGGATGCAGACCAGTATGTAATGGGAATGTACTGGAAGAAGGGTTCCTATAATAAATTAGGACATTTCCACCTTAAAGATATGTGCCACTCTCCTGAGTGGAAAGGGACCACCCACATGGTCTCAAATCCGTTGAAACCACACATCCAATCTTTTAAAGACATGATGGCCATTGCAAATCCAACATTTGAAGATACCATGGCCACTGAAACAGGTTTCAATGATGTTAATCTATGGTTAGAATGGATGAAATATAATGCCAACAAACATAACAGAACTGCATGCTATGTGTGTGGTGGTGCCCGGCCGCACCTGGGCACTGTGCCTTCAACTTTGCCAGTAGATATAGAAGAATGTGTTCTGAGTCTTTTTGCCTATCACTACAATTTCAATAGGTCCATATGTAAAGCATGGACAGTAGAGTATCCTCTTCTAGTCAAAGATTGCAAACCCCCAGATGGTGTTACCGTCTATAAAGGTAATTATACCTGTTATGCTAATTATGATGGAATTGGTAAATTTGTGGGTAACTTCTCTAAAGGTTATTGTGCCACCTACAGAACTGTCTCTATGAACCTCCTACAATTCCACACTAGATCATTGGGGGATATTTACTGGTTGTGTGGGGATCTACAGCTGAGATCAAGAATGGATAAAGAATGGTGGGGGGAGTGTACTCTGGCTAAAGCAATCATGCCCATACATATTATCTCTGACACACACCCCGATACTCATGAGTCCAAACACTCACCAACCAAGGTAAAGCGTGAAGCCCCAGTAAAAGGCAGTTTTGACCCTCATATTTACATTGATGCCATTGGGGTACCTAGGGGGGTGCCCAATGAGTTTAAAGCCAGGGATGAAGTTGCTGCAGGATTTGAATCACTTTTTACCATAGTCACTGCAAACAAGAATTTAAATTGGATAAATTACATCTACTACAACCAACAACGGTTTGTTAATTACACCAGGGATGCCCTTCAGGGTTTGGCCGAACAGTTGCAGGCTACGTCCCAAATGTCATTCCAAAATAGAATGGCTTTAGATATGATTCTAGCCGAAAAAGGAGGGGTATGTAAAATTCTGCCTGACACCATGACATGTTGTACTTACATCCCAGAAAACACAGGCCCCAATGGTAAAGTAACTTTAGCTATAGGAAAATTGAAAGAGCTCTCTGAGGAGCTAAAGAGGAACTCTGGGATAAAAGATCCCTGGGAGAGATGGTTTGGTTGGATGACAGGATGGCAAAAAGCTTTGATGCATATTGGTATAGCAATACTAATTTTCCTTTTTATCTTTGCTCTTCTCGTTTGTTGTGTCCTCCCTTGTCTGAGAAAGCTCCTCTTGAAGACTGTAGACCAAGCGGCACCCACTTACGCACACCTCACAGTTGATGACCAAGATTTCCAAAAAGTCAACTCGCCCTGTATACCGCTACAATCTATCCCGTTTATTGATAAAGTGCAAGAGTTCTAGGAAGGGACCAGCTTAGGGACAGCATCTGTCTGTCTGGGAAGTCTACCGTGCGGAGATGTGGTGGGTTAGCCACCTCGGGATACCCATGGAGTGAAGTGTTCGAGTGCCCAGCGGACAGATGAGTTAGCCAATTAGGGACAGACGAAGGGACAGCTTTGCACTTTGCAATAACACCTAGCTAGCGGGTCACGGGGTTTCTGTGCCTTTGGGCTAACACGTCTTCTGATACTAACAAATAAAGATTATCTTTTAGAATCTAACATTTCATAGGGGGGACTGATGTAGAATTATTAAAATCTTTATTAGAACCTGTATTGAATTATTGTACTAACTCCATTTTGTTCACCTTACATGACAGAATTTCCTGACAGTATTCAGTATAATGAATAAGAGATTGTATTTTCTCTCTCTAAGGACATAACTAGCCCCGGAGTTAGCGGATCTCCGTTGACTTGCAACATAGTATAATCCAAGGCCAGGAGAACAGTGACAAAATGAAATGTTCTATTCATAAAAGAACCTTGGAACAGACCACGAGACTGACATCACTAACTACGTAAAATGACGCCCAAGCCCCCCTTTCCACCGAGTAAGCCTCGTGCTAAAGAGCAATGGCGACGACATCCCATGATGGGAGGGTGCCTCACTAGTCACTCAAATCTCTGAGCCAATTAATAATATTAATGGGTGGACACTGACATAGCCACTTAACATTTAACCCAATTAATGATGTTTATTTGTTATTATCTGATATTCAATGATGATGTCATTTTGCATATAAAAAGGCCTGCGTGCCCACTTTTTAACTAGATGCTAATAAATTTCCTGAAGTGTTTTTTAACCTGAACTGCATGTGTCAGTGTGAACTTACTTCTGCGTATACGCAATTTATTCATCTCAGATTTGGACAGGAACAGATAGACTTTTAAACATTTTTGTTTATTTCTAAATTAATCTACATCAATATCAGTGATACTATATATCCATATTCTAAATAAATAATAACCTATCGTTTAAATACTAGCATTAAACAATAATATCACCAAGTACTCGTATATTACCATAAACATCATATTCATATATAATATAGATAAACTATACAAATTATAATTGAGCAAAAGAAACGGTGAAATAAGATGACCCATAGAAAAGGGAGGGAAAATACTTGCCTCCTGTCATTATTAAAATTAAGATTATAGGTACACTACGTTAGCATAATCTACAATTTTATCACATGACAGGAGGCTTCCTATTTTGCATTTTTAATGCTGAGGTAATAATGAGAAAGATGCGTGAGTGGTCTGACGAAAATAAAATAACCGGAAATTGTCTTCTCGTGTCCAGTCTGCGGAACGTAAGATATCCACTAGAGAAGCTCCCGCCGAGAACGCTCGAGAAGCAGCCACGCCCCGAACCGAGTGAGCCCCGAAACATGTCTCCACTCCTGCTAGGGATAAGATCCAACGAACCCATCTAGCCAGAGTAGTAGTGGTAACCGACTTGTAGGGTTTGGTATAAGACACCAGCAGTTGTCCAATACTAGAAGCTTAGCAGTGACCTCTACATATCGAGTAAGTGTGGAAACTACACATAAATGGGGAACCGTAGGGAAAAAGGGGTAAGATATAGATGCTGAATTCGTTTTAGTTCTCCGAGACACCGTGAAGGTAACTCCTTCTGGTGAAATCGAGAAACCGTCCACGTCGAACGCTCGCACGTCCGAAACTCGTCGAAAGGATACTAAACATAGAAGCATGGTGAGTTTGGCCGACAGCTGGCGCAGAGACAAATCTGGGTTGTCCGGCCAATTCCGAAGAAAACGGAGGACCACCTCTACATCCCACAAACTATTATACTTAGGTGCTGGTGGTCTGGACAATTTGATACCTCGCAGCAGGCGACATACCAAAGGGTCTTGACCGACCGGGGAGCCTTGTACTGGAACGTGTGCCGCCAAAATCGCAGAGCGTGACACATTGATGGAACGATAGGATCTTCCTTCTGTGAAAAGATGGGACAAAAATTTTACCACCGTGGTGACAGGTGCTGTAAAGGGATCACAATTCCTTCCTACACACCAGCGGTTCCATGAATTCCATGCTGATAAGTAACTCTGTCGGGTACCCGGTGCCCATGAATCCCATAAAAGATCTTTAGCGGTTGCGATAGATCCCCGACAGATCAGGCTCCCCTGAAAGATTCCAGACCACAAGTTCCAGATTCTTCTGTACCACTAGTGGATGTGGTTCCCCTTTCGGGTCTGTCAGCAAGAAGGGGAATGATGGAAGAAGTAGAGGATGGTCTTGTGTTAGAGCCAATAAATCCGTGAACCACGTCTGACTTTTCCACAACGGTGTGACGAGAATCATCGAAATCTTGGTCGTTCTCATGCGATGGATTACTCTTGCTATCATCGAGAATGGTGGGAATGCGTAAGCCATGGTTGTAGAAAGGCATCTATCGCCTCGCATTGAGGGTCTGGAATCCAGCTGTAATATCTCGGTAACTGCGTGTTCGTCCGAGACGCAAACAGGTCCACGGCCAATGGGCCCCTGAGGTCCTTCACCACTGAGAATACCGATGTGTCCAGTCGCCAATCGCTGCCATCTCGCCAGTGTCGGGAAAACCAATCCGCCGTGAGGTTGTTGATTCCCGGTAAGTATTCCTCCTTGATCGTAATGTTGCGGGGGAGACAGAATTGATAGATGTCCCTATTTGCCTCTGTCAAGGCTCTTGATCGGGCTCCTCCCAAGCGATTTATGTATTGAACCGCGGAAATATTGTCCATGCGCAGAAGAATGCAGCAGCTCGACATGTCCTTGGCTAGACTGCGAATCGCAAATGATCCCGCAATCCGTTCCAGACAGTTGATGTGAAGACCCTGTTCCTCTTCTGACCTCGGACCTCCCGTGGATGCGTGGGTGCAGTGAGCTCCCCAGCCCCAAAGGCTCGTGTCCGACTACAATACAAAGTCCGGGTTCGTTCGGAAAATGGCCTTGCCGTTCCAGGCTTCCATGTGAAGTAGCCACCATTGAAGTTCCGTCCGTGCTTCTGCTGAGACAGGAATCCAGTGGTCATACGTGTGTCAGGCTCGTAGGTATTGAGCTTTCAATCTCTGCATGGCCCGGTAGTGGAGCGGGCCTGGAAAAATCACCTGTATTGATGAGGAGAGTAGACCTACTATCCTCGCTAGTAGTCGGAGAGGTATGGTGTCTCTCCTGAGTATCCTTTGAATTTCCTTCGGAATGGCCGCTATCTTCGATGCCGGGAGACGTAGTACGCAAGAGTTGGAGTCTATCTCGAACCCGAGGAATTGAACTATTCGGGATGGAGTCAACGATGATTTTTCTCTGTTCACTACAAACCCCAATGATTCCAGAAAGTGAATGATAAATCTCGTCTGAGATCGAATTCTGGAGTTGGAGTCGCAGAAAATCAACAAATCGTCCAGATACACGAGGCAGCGTATACCCCTTTCTCTCAAATGGGCCATGACTGGTTTGAGAAGTTTCGTAAAACACCATGGGGCCGAGCTGAGGCCGAATGGCAGATATGTGAATTGGCAGGAGCAATCCTTCCAGGTTAAACGAAGGAAGGAGCGCCTTTCTTGCGCCATGGGGACCGACAGGTATGCGTCTTTTAAGTCTAGACGTGTGAACCAGTCGCGTTCGTTCAGTAAGTCTCTCAGAAGGTGAATACCTTCCATCTTGAAATGGCGATAAGCCACAAATCCATTGAGTTCTCGTAAATTGATTACCGGACGGTAGTCTCTCATCTTATTTCTGACGACGAACATGTTGCTGAAGTAACCTTGATCGTCTGGGGCGAATTCCACAGCTCCCTTTGCGAACAGTGCTTGTATCTCCTTGTCTATGAGGCGTATATGGCTCTTTGCTGCCCGGAGAGGCGGTGGTCGTGTGGTCTGAATTGGCGTACGGGCAAACTATCACGTACCCTCGCACAGTCTGAAGGATCCATGCGTCTGTGGAGATGCGTTCCCACTCCTGTGGAAAGAGGTACAGTCTGCCAGAAGTTATACTTGAGTGACATAACGGAAGACAGTTCATGCTCACCTAAATTGAATCGTCCTCGTCCTCTGCCTCGAGTGCCCCTTGTACTGTCCCCTTGTGAAGGAGGCTCCTGTGGATGGGAATTACTGCTGTGGAGCATTTGGACGTCTGGGGCCGGATGGCCAGAAGCGGCTGGTGGCCCGACCCCTCTGCCGACCAGCCCTGCCAAAAAACACCTCGAGTTGTTTGTGGGTTCCGGAAGACTTGTCTAATGGATGATTGGGCCTTGTTCAGTGTAGTGAATTGGCCAACGTGTTTTTTTTCAGTTCCGCCAGAAACGGTTCACAGAATAGCAGACCGTCCGCCAGAACCTAGCTCCTTCTTTCCCAGGTCTAACAGTGTGGAATCTATCTTCAATAGGGCCGCTTTACGTAGTTCTGCCCGCTGTGATCGCCCGCTGTGCCCATTCTCTAATGTCGTGTGCCTCGAGGGTCGTCCCCTGAGAAAGTGCCAAATCTGCAAAGTATAGGATCTTCGCTAGTGGGCCTATCATGTCCAACATTTTGTCCTGGACCGATTTCATGCCCTTCTTTACGTTTATGTCCACGCCCCAAGCGGGACATAAACACCACTGTGGTGTCAGACTCTGGGGTGATGGCGATCTTGTCAGGAAGCACGGGACGTGGGCACTCTGCTCTGAGATTGGCCCGAACCTCCTTGTCCATCGGCTTCCTCAGCCAAAAATTTATAAATTGAGTCAGATGGTCCGGCAGGTTCCATTCCGACG